GCGTTGGGTGAAAACGTCCTTGGATCTGAATGGAGGTAGATTCTGTAATGTCTGGAGCACGTGAGAGGGCCAGTAAATGTTATAGTGTTTGTGTGGGCGTTGGAATGGAACTTGCAGACGCAGACTGACCGGCTGCTCACTGCAGTGGCTGTAACACTTCAGAGCAAGTTTAATTAAGCTGACGGCTACTCAGCCAAGACATTTACCGGCTTTTATGGAACCAAAATGTTCATTACCGTTTTCACAGGACCCCTGCACTGGGCCAAATGAATCCAGATCTTTCCACTCCTATTTCATTAAAAAAATTAAATTAGGTACTGTTCTCTTATCTACGTGTGACATGCAACTTATCAGAAAAAAAACCCTCACATTGGCCATTTTAATCGGTGACAGTCTTACCATTTCGTACATTGACGGTGTCTGACAACAGGATACTGAGTGGTGAGGAATCAACCGGAGAAGGGATGCAATTAGATAATATATAATGAGGAGCTTAGCGGTCAGAACACTAGCCTTGTAATCCTGGGGTCCCGGGTTCAATTCCGGTGGTGCTCAGATTTATAACTTGTGTTGGGCAAGGCCGTGGTCTAGGCAACACGGAGTTTTCCTCCGTGGCATCCCAACAATTATCCCATTCACACACAGAAGAAGGCAATGGCAAACCACTTCTGGATCATCTGCCAAGAACGTATATGAACAAGTCCCAGTCCGAGAAAAGGATGGAAGGATCCTGTTCATATGGACCTGTCGTCAGACAGAACACTAAATAATAATAAGATGAGGTGGTCTAGCGGTTAGAACGCTGGCCTTGTAATCCTGGGGTCTCGGGTTCGATTCCCGGCGGTGCCAGAATTGATAACTTGTGTTGGGCAAGGCCGTGGTCTAGGCAACACGGAGTTTTCCTCCGGGGCATCCCAACAATTACTCCATTCACACACAGACGAAGGCAATGGCAAACCACTTCTGGATCATCTGCCAAGAACGTATATGAACAGGTCCCAGTCCGAGAAAAGGATGGAAGGATCCTGTTCATATGGACCTGTCGTGAGACAGAACACTAATAATAATAATAATAAATCACATGAGGATGTAAGGTACTGGGCATGTAGCACGCATGGGACAGGTGAGCAGTGTGTACAGACTCCTCTACGCGGGACAAAATAGAAAATCCGCGCTATCCAAACACCAAAGGAAGTGAGGAACATCGTGACAGCTTAACGCACCCTGACTTGTAAATCTTCGTGCTCAGACCTGGATACAGCTTCACGTTACGTCAGCCTTTGTTCTTCTGGCAGTGGGCACTTTGGGGACAAATTCGAGGTAGCAGACGAGAGATTGTCCTGTCTCATCTTCCACACTTTCTCCGTG